TGATTGGTGGAGGCGGCTCAGGTGACGTTTGCTTTGTTCCCGCAGGAGGCTGATCAAAGAGATGGAGGCCAAGCAGCAGAGCGAGAAGGCGGAGCTGGAGCGCCTCCAGCAGGAGGTGGAGAGTCAGCGCAAGGAGTCCGAGGAGGTGCAGCAGCGGATCCTCCGCCAGGAGGAGAGCCTCCACCGCCGCAGCCAGGACATCGAGAGCCGGCTGCGAGACTTCCTGGCTGAGAAGGAGCGCTTCGAGGAGGAGCGGCGCTCTGAGGTCAGTGAGGTGGATCTCCAGCGGAGGCGACGGCGGAAGGAGCCGCAGGAGCACGAGGCGGACCGCGCGGAGGAGCAGGACGAGCAGACGGAGATCTACCGCGAGCTGGAGCGGCTGAAGAGGGAGCGCGAGGAGCAGCGGGTGCGTCTGGAGACGGAGCGGCGGCGGCTGGAGGAGCAGGAGCGCGAGCAGCTGAGTCTGGTGGGGCGGCTGGAGGAGCAGCTGAGGGAGAAACACGAAGCCGCCACCGCCCTGCTGACCCGGGAGGACGCACGCCGCCTGGAGGAGGAGCAGCGGGCGCTGGCAGAGATCAGAGAAGCCCTCCTCCGCGCCAAAGAGGCCGCCGAGCGGCCGGACGTGGAGGACGCCGGCGAGGAGGCGCGGGCCGCCCAGAGCCGCTACGCCGACTTCAAGGCGGCTCAGGTGAAGGAGCTGGACCTGCTGGAGGAGGGGCTGCGGCAGCAGAGGGAGCGCCTGGAGAAGGAGGTTGCCGCCGAGCGCGGCGCCCTGCTGCTCCTCACCCACGGCCTGAGAGAGCGCCAGCAGCACCTGAAGGAGACGCAGGAGAAGGGAGCGCAGGACGCCACCGCCGTCTGCCACGAGGAGCAGCTCCTCCGACAGGCGGAGCACAGGCTGCAGCTGAAGGAGCGGCAGCTCGCCAACCTCGCCGACGGCCTCCTCCCCGCCCTCGCCGAGGAGAAGCAGAGAGCCTCAGAGCTGCTGGAGCGCAGCGGCGGCGGCGGCAACGGGAACTGTGACCGATCCCCGGGGCTCGACAACACGCTGTTCCAGGTGGAGAAGGAGCTGGAGGACAAGGAGGAGAAGCTGAGCCTCCACTGGCACAGCGCCCGGCAGCTGCAGCAGCTCCAGGAGACGTACGAGTTCACGGCCAACGTGGCGCGGCAGGAGGAGAAGGTGAGGAGGAAGGAGAAGGAGATCCTGGAGTCGAAGGAGAAGCAGCAGAGGGAGGCGATGGAGCAGGCCGTGGCCCGGCTGGAGAGGAGGCACTCCGCCCTGAGGCGCAGCGTCTCCCTCGACCCCGACGCAGAGGAGCAGAGGAGCAAGAGCTCTGTCGCCAGGACGCCGAGGACGGGGGCGGAGCTGGACCAGCAGAGGTTTCTATGGAAACGGATTCCGACCGGTTTAATCCGGCAGTTTCACATTTTATTTATTCCTGCTGGGGCTTTTATTTTGAAGGCTCACTGTGTGTTTCGTGTGCAGAGTGCAGCGCGAGATCCAGAAGCTGCGGCAGCGAATCAGCGAGGGCGACGACACCAGCCGGACGCACTCCATCAGCGGCGACGAGCGGGCGGGTCACGGCGGCTCGCCCGCCAGTCACATCCAGGGCCTGAACACGCTGCTGCCGCTGTCCGACGACAGGTACGCACCAAGCCCCGCCTCACTCTGCAGGGACCGCCTCCCCGTGTTCACTGTGTGTGTGTGTGTGTGCGCCCTGCAGGATAAACGCCTACATCGAAGAGGAAGTCCAGCGGCGGCTACGCAAGATGAACCTCCTGAACGGCAGCAGCATGGATCTGTCTCTGTCCACAGAGTCGCTGCGAGTAAGAGGCACCGCACTCTTCATCACGCCCAC